GAATCGTGAAAAATGACTTTGAAAAATAAATCTGTTGTTTTTTTCTTATAAAAGGCAAAATAAAACAAAAATATTGGTAATTTTTGACTGTATAACTTTACAAACGGCACCCCATAAAAATCTGTCAAATGCACATAATAAGTTCCATTAGCCATTGTTCTTCCATGTAAAAGGCCAAGTACAGAGCAACGAGTGCAAACAATAGAGGTTTTTTTGTGATGTAACTGATCTGCTGAGCGTATCTTTAATTTGCTACATCGACAGTTCTTGTGTCCGCTGTAACACAAACTGTGTCAGTTTCTGTTGAGGCGGTCAGGAGGAGTGAGTCAGGTGAGGTCATTCTGCGTCGACTGACCTGTTTTCAGACACTGAGCGTCGAAGTCGGAGCAGCAGCTGTAGTAGGTTTTGCACAAATTGTCACATCGGCATCCCGGAGGATCGACCACCTCCAGCTCGAAGCACCTCCCCTTGCAGGAGCCTGCGGTGCTGACCCACTCTGATAAGACTGGAGGGAGCGCAGAGTCAGAGTGAGAAACAACGGCTGCGGACAAAGCCATGCACAAAGTCTCAAAAAATGATGATAAATCTTGTATTTTATATTAAAGTGACACAATATATTCATCCCCAGCAAGCTTCAACAACAAAAACCCACATTTTCACAGCTCATTGGGGTCTRTGTGCTGATAAAACCTCCTGTTTTTATCCCGTTCAGGCTGGCAGTGGATGTTCATAAGCAGGTATGTGTTGATGTAAACCTGCAGAATCTTTAACATTTTTAGGACTTATTTAAAAAATGCCCTCAAGTTGTAATACAACTGTAAGAAAAATACGTATTCAATAAACTGAAGTCGATATTAAAACCACCATTGTTAAATAAAATGATTTGTAGAAGGAATCAAACCATACAAMACCAGAATTCTGGAAACTGAGTGGGGTTTAWTGTCACCGGAGCTGACAGGAAACCACACTGGCGAAAAACCAGGAAGTTCATCAATTTATACATGTTCTTCAATGCCTATGTTCGCCCCCTACTGACCTACGGCTGAATCACAGGCATTCAGACAAAACTCTCATCTAATGTCCTCACAACGTTTGATTATGTGTTGTTATAATTCGGACATGTAACTAATCTATATCAATCAAAACATAAAATATTAAATATTGTCAACATTATAAAAAGGAAAACCTAAAATATAGTGTTGTGCTTTTAACATCAGTACTAACCTCTAATAATTAAATTTATTCACAACTATGCATGTTTTGCATATAAGCCATAGTAGCATGAATCTGCTCGAACTGAAATAGCACACTCTTGCTATGTGGTRGTACTATGAAGATAAAGGCATCTTATGGTAAAACATCAAATCAGCGGTTAAAGTAATTAAATTATGTTATTATGRGGGGAGAATGAGTACATAAACATGCGTCCCCACCTTTAGTGTGAGTTGGTAGGCTGTCTCCTCCCTCTAAAGGTCGGGTGGCTTGAAACACATAAGCTCTGCTGACATCAGAAGCCCACAGGCAGAACACAATCACTACCTGCAGAGGACCCACAGCAAATGATTAGAGCCGACTTTGCATTTTCCATGGCTGAAGGTTCAAGGTCAGACTCAGCAGCTGCTCTGAACCAAATAAAACTTCAACGTCAACCAATTAGTTTTGATTTATACTGAAGTACGATAAGAAAAAAAATATCAGAGTTGGATAAAAAGGTCATTTTAAAGAGCTGCGCAGATTCAATTGTGATTCTTCGCAGCGTGAAATTCACCGCAGATTGCATCAGTTTCAAACAACCCTCCACCCTACGAGTTTGTGCACGGTGGACGCACGTGTTGCAACATCAGCAGAGATGTTAGAAAAGGTCAAATGTGGACTTACATGTTGCAACGGTACAGAACGACACGACTGTAACAGCAGCTAACCCACTGCTTTCTTACTGACTGTAAAACATCGAAAACTGCAAAATAACTGATTTTAGCTTCTTTTTTTTTTGATGAACACACACTTAGGGTTGGGCAATATTGGCCAAAAAAATAATCAAGATTAAATGTGGTATTTAGCCGATAACGATTAATACGATGACTAATCTCCTGGAGTCCCTGGGTGCCCCCAAAAAGTCACATGACCAATTTAAATCATTCAAGTGGGAAAGTTTGCTCTCCGCAAAAAATCTGTTCCACATTGTGTTAAAAGTACAGACTTCAGACTGTGTGTGAGTTTTTAAATTGTGTTGACAGGCCAAGTAAAACCAGAGTTATGACAAATAAATTACAAAAAACTTTTTTTTAATGTTTGTCCTATTTGAAGCGGAGAGGAGCACAGAGCAGACTGAACGGGAAATTACCAGAGTTGTAAAGTAACTAAGTACAAATACTTTGTTACTGTACTTAAGTAGAAATTATCTGTACTTGAGTAATTATTTCTCAGCGTACTTTTTACTTTTACTCATTACGTTTTTAAACAATTATCTGTACTTTCTACTCACTACATTTTTTTAAAATGGTAAGACGTAGAAAGTTGTTACTGCTATTTTAAAAAATACTCTCCTGATAAATTGTCTCCCGGATCGAGTGAATTTAATTGTGTTTGGATGAGAAGTATAAATATATACCATTCTGACACTATTATCTTGTACACAACCCAACACAGCTGCACACTGTTAGAAAAAATATTTTTTGGAGAAGTCACCTCCCAATAAATGTCATTTCGGAAAATTTAATTGCTCACTGTTACTCAGTACTTTTACTTTTAATACTTAAGTAGATTTTGTGTCAGAAATTAATTTTTGATACTTAAGTACAAAAAATATCAGCTACTTTAAGACTTTTACTTAAG